TAAATATTTGAAGAGCAAGAGAAAATTACAGCAGATTTCTTCCACCGGCTGCTAAAGGTATTTATGAACCTTCTTTCTTTGATTGTCCCAAAACTGATTCAATTTATTTGATTGTTGGAAACAAATATCCTGCAATTATTCAATGGTTAGCTATGAATCTGGATATTATATTGGATTTTGTTGAAAATTTGAGAAAATGAATGAATTTTTTCCCTTTTTTTGTTCTGGGTAATTGCTGGACCTGTTATATTGGATGAAATGATTTGGCTTAAGTTAGCAAAAGATTAATTTAGAGGCTTGATGTTAGGAAGGAAGCCGGCAGACGGCGGAGTTACGGGAAATATTTACTTTATGTAAGCGTACCACTGAGAACCTGAGTTCTGATGGCCAAATCTCTTAAAAAGTCAGTATCTTGCATTATCCTCGACTTGGACGGCACACTTCTTAACACAGGTCAGCATCTCTTCTTTATCCTTCCTCGCCAGGAGTTCTTGATTCTGCAGCTATTGGCTTTTTGCTTCCTTTGAGCTCTGAGTAGTTTTTTTTTTTTTTTTTGAGTTGTAATTTATTTTCATTTTTATGGCAGATGGTGTAGTTAGTGATGTGTTGAGGGTTGGCTTGGGTAAGTATAGGAAAGAATGGGATGGGAGAGAAGCTCAAAAAGTTGTAGGGAAGACACCTTTGGAAGCTGCAGCTGTTATTGTGGACGATTATGGGCTTCCTTGTGGAAAGGATGAATTTTTTGCTGAAATCACCCCAATATTCTCTGCTCAGTAAGGAAATTAATGTTGATAACTGAATTAAATTGATTGAATTTCGATGATGAAATTGTTGACTGTCAAGTCTGAATCCCCCTTGCAAAATAAACTTTCTAGTTTACTGTTGGTTTATTTACCATCTCTTTTTATTATAATTTGTATCCCCCTTTTTCTTTTTCAACATTTGGATTATCTAGTCAAGTTTTTGGGCTTCTACTGTTATTGGAAGGCTTTTAGTCTGTCTTTCCCCTTTGATATAATTTCTCCAAATAGAAAAGATCATTTCTTGATTGCTGGTGTAGGATTGGTAACATTAAAGCTCTTCCAGGTGCCAGTCGATTGCTTAAACATTTGAGTGGTCATGGGGTGCCCATGGCTTTGGCGTCTAACTCCCCTAGGGCAAGCATAGAGAACAAACTTTCATATCACCAAGGTAAGGTTTCTTAGAAAACTTCTAGGGAGTCTCCAATGTTTTATTTCAGCTATTTTCTCATAGTTGCCAAAATTTAAGGCTGGAAGGAATACTTCTCTGTCATCATTGGTGGCGATGAAGTGACCACAGGGAAGCCATCTCCTGAAATGTAAGTCTTAATCATAACAGCCATGGATTATTATTTCTCTAAACTATGAAAAACTGTATTCTAGATTTATTTGGTTTTCTCAAATTCTAATATTATCTTTTTTCCTTTTCTTGTCCAATTTAAGATTTTTGGAAGCAGCTAAAAGGCTGAATATGGAACCCTCCAGTTGCCTGGTGATTGAAGATTCTGTGTGAGTTCAACTTTTATTACATCTGCCTTATTTTGAATTTCACTGTATGTATATAATAATAACCTACTATCCCTTTTGTTCGCACTTCACTCCTTCTTACCTACTATTTTATTGCAAGGATTAGCTAAAACTTCATTTTAATGTTGTTATTAGGTTTGTACTGACTATTTATTTTGTTCAATACAGTGTATACAGAACATTGTTTTAATATTTGATACTAATGCCTTGGCTATATCAGGCCTGGTGTCATGGCTGGTAAGGTTGCTGAAATGGAGGTAGTGGCTGTACCATCTGTTCCAAAACAAACTCATCTTTTTACAGCAGCAGATGAAGTTATCAACTCCCTACTTGATTTGCAACCTGAAAAGTGGGGCCTACCTGCATTTCAAGACTGTAAATCTTGGCAGCCTCTATCATACTAAAATCATGTTTCATGGATGTGTTCTTAAAGTAATCTGTCAGAAATATTGTTCTGTGGGTGCAGGGATAGAGGGTACATTACCAATAAAACCTTGGCATATAGGGGGTCCTGTCATTAAGGGATTTGGTCGTGGCTCAAAAGTACTTGGCATCCCTACAGGTTTGTGATAAAAATTGTAGGTTATCAATCGAGAAATGTTCTTACTATTGCTTTTGAATAATGCCATCATACAAAATATGCACGTACCTTAATAATTTTGGCTTAATAAGATCACAGAATTTTTTGGCTAGATTTCATATGATATCTTTTTGCTCATATAACTTGCTTGATAATTCTTTCTTCAATTTTCTAACAAGTTCAATAACCATTTCAGCCAATCTATCAATGCAAGGTCATTCTAGTCTCCTTTCAGAACATCCTTCTGGGGTATATTTTGGTTGGGCTGGTCTGTCAACACGTGGTGTTTACAAAATGGTCATGAGTATTGGTTGGAACCCATATTTCAACAATGCCGAAAAGACAATAGTGAGTGGGACACTGATTTAGATAGTAGTCTATGCAAGTCTTATTTCTACTCTGAAACTTGAATTTCTATGCTGCAGGAGCCATGGTTGCTGCATGAATTTAATGAGGATTTCTATGGTGAGGAATTGCGTCTTGTTATAGTTGGCTATATACGACCTGAGGTACCATTGAACCTTTGCCCTTTGTTCCATTTTTTCCTTATACCGCAAACAAGCACTCTTTCAAAATGATTGTCTTTCATTTGTGTAACAGGCTAATTTCTCTACTCTTGAGAACTTGATAGCAAAAATTCATGATGACAGAAGAATCGCGGAGAAATCCCTTGATCTTCCATTATATTTTAGGTACCAAGATGATCCATACATAAAATGCTCTCTAGCTAGGAACAGTAATCATTCATGACACTCTGAAACTTGTCTTCTATACAGACAGTATGTATTCTCATCGTGACACTGAAATTTTTCTTCAGGCATTCCTCTGACATTATAAATCTATGTATTACATTATGAGATCTTATGTTGAATCTCTCCTCAATAATCTTGCGGTTTCAAATAATGTGATACAGTCTCCTTACCATGTTTATTCCAATTAAGTCCCGCTATTAGCTTTTGTCTGGGACGGTGGTACCAAATAAGCCTCTCAACCGCACAATCCCTGAGGCAAAAATTAGCAAAAACCATGTTGCAAAGCTACCTGAAGCATCCTGTGTTTTTGACCGTGTGCCTAAAGGGTCCTATATAACAAATTAAGCACCCTGTCTATAGGTATGGTATAGTTCATATTATGTTATATTTGAATATTGGTTGCTTATAAGAATTTTTAATAAGTCTTCTTTTAATTTACAATAGGTTTTTATAGATGGTATTTACCTAGTGAATTTATACGATATACAAAATCTTAACTGTGCACTCCTCTATTATGAATGAATGAAATTTATTCACTTTTTAATTATTTTTTAAGTTAAGTGTCTTTCACATAAAAGGTTGTGACAAATTTCTACAAGTAATGGTAGAAAATAAATGACTACAATTTTGTGAAAAACATGTGATTAAAAGAATTCTATCTTTATTTATATTATATATTTATTTTTGCAAGTTATGTAGAAAAGATTTTTTAGCTCCTCCTAACATTTTGCTCAAACTATGCCTCTTGTCTATTTAAAAGTAATTGTCGACTTTTGACTTTTTCTTTAAATTAAAATTTTTTGAATAATTTATGTTTATTTATAGTATTCTAAAAAAAAAAGATAAATAAACTTTTTATAATAAGATAAATAATTAAAGCAAATTGGTAACAATATAGTTAAAATAGGAAAATATATTTGTTTATTTAAAAAAAATGAAAAAACGACAATTAATTTAGAAAAAAAAATTTAAAGTAAAAAAGCAACAATTATTTGGAGATTAAAAATGTTATGATTATAATGTCATGTAATACTGTAAACGTATAACATGATGTGTTATTATATAAGAGTCTAATCGTGATATTGTATGCATTCATTTATTTAATGTTATGTTATACTAATTTAATACCATATCATAATTGTAATTTTATAATCTTAAAAAACTATTGTAACTATAGTATTACTGTTTTGAAAGAGATAAAGTAATATTTCTCATCCAAGCAATGATTTTTGGGATCAAATTTTTAAACAAAATTATGATCACGTGGTCTATGTAAATTCCACACCATAATCAATGAATGCTATAAATTTGTTCCAAATTTTGGTAGTTCCTCATAACCTGTATTTTTATTATGTTGAATGAATTATGTGTGAATCGCAATGGATTTATTATGCTGTTTCACACCAAAGTCAATTTTTTTCTATTTAAATATATCTTGTTATTTGTTTTAAATGTAAGTGAATGAATGAGAGAAGATTCTTTTATCATTTGAAGGATGAGATATTGGAGAAAATTCAAACAAGCTTACAACTCATGCATCTATGTTGGCGCAGTGGCATCAAACCTGTGATCTTGGTGCAACAAGACTGTAAAATAGTGTGGCAAGCAAGCTGTATTTATGGCACAAAATGGTGGAGCAACAAAGCTGCTTCAATGGAAAGAATAGTGCGGCAAACAAAGTCGTGGTATGAAAGCAATAGAAATGAAATGCAAATGCAAATGCAAATGTGAGTTGCAAATGCAGGCTGCAATTAGGTCAACAAAAGTGCAGTAATATAATCGTGTTTTTAATGTGCTTTTTATGTTACTTTATGTATTACAATCTTTGATTATGTGATAAAGATGATAATGTGTATTAAAAACAAAACAAAAAACAAAAACAAGAACATGGTTGGCTATCAAAAACTCATGTTTTTGGAGAGTGCCTCTTATAAGAGGGATTTTATTTTATTATTTATTTATTTATTTTTTCTTTATCATTTCAACACTAGTGCTTTAAGCAGTAGTTGGAAGTGGTCATGACTTCTCTCAAATTTCCCAGTTATTTTGGGCATTTCCATTGTATCCACAAGGAGACTTACCCACATGCCTTCTTCCATGGCAAACTTTATGCCTGCAACTAAGTTCTTATTCGGCATGGTGTCTTGAACAATTTTTCTATTGGTAAAATCTAGCTAATTGCCTATTTTGGTTCACTTTATAAGATTGCAACAAATTTTATTTTATTTTTTGAAAAAAAAAAATGCATGCAAATCAGAAAAATCTGAAGTTCGGGCAAAGAAGACAAAGCCAAGGTTTGGGTGGGGCAGTTTTCTAGAAAAAATACTTCTAAAGGCTAATTTTACTTCTAGAAAGTATATACAGATAAGGCTATTTCACTTTGACTCAATGGACCTCTAATCCCCAAAGTTGATCTCACAAGACATAATATTTGGTAAGCTAGTAATTTGAAGCCTCAAACCATATCCGAGAGCAAAGCCTGGCCTTGATGCTATTTGTTCTCCTTCCAAAGAGCAACAATTCTTCAAACATTTCAATTGAACCTGGTTGGTCTGCTCGTTAAGAGTTAAACGTTATGGATAAAACTAAGGATCAAGTTCCGGCCTTTTCACTGGATTCACCATTTTCAGCTTGAGGTTTCATGGCAATACTGTGTTCTACTGCCTTCTTCGCAACTGTTGACTTATTGTTCTTCTGACCATTTGTTTGAGCATACTTGGCAAAAGCAGCTTTAAGGGCTGATTTAACATTCAATTCCGGTTCTGTCTTCCTGCGTTTGTTTATATCTTCTCCATCCTTCTCAACTTCTGCAACTTCACCTGCCGAGGATGGTTCAGCATTTTTCTGAACTGAAGTTTCTGGAACAGCTGGTTGGCTAGAAACTATGCGCTTGAAGGGTTCATGAAAAGTATCATACAAGCGTTTTACCTGACCAATTGATAATATCCAAAAAAAATTAAACCAAACCATTCCACAAAAGAAAAGTAAAACCCATAGTTTTTATATTAAATCATTTCATCAACAAAAATATAACAGGATACCATCACATGACCATCTCAAAATGGTATATCATGAAACATATTTACCTTACGCTCTCCGATGCCAGGGCAACGAGCTAAATCTTCCATGGATGCATCCATTATACTGGAAAGCGACTAAAAAATAACAACAAAGGTCCAAGGAAGTATATCAATGCAAATTTATAATTAAAAGAATTAGGCATAAAGCATTGAACATACCCCAAACGTAGAACCAAGGGTGACAACATCAGTTTTGTTGACATGTCGAATGGTAGTAAGTGCATGGTTTAGCTAAACCCACAGAAAAATTAGTTTCAGCTCAACCAAGCCAAGAGCTTCCAGTTCAAAAATACAACCATAACAAGGATCTATCCTCAAATAAAGGAAAATGACAAAAAAAGGATTAAAAAAAAAAAAAAACTGTAGTACCCTTGATAAATAATCTGTATCCATGTGACCTTGAATCAGGTCTGCAGGTTTGTTTTCATATACTTTTATGGTCTCCAAGTAGCGGGCACATTCCTCCAAGCTACACCAGATTATACAAGAAACTGTCATGAAAAAGCATTTACAAGAAGTTTCTTATCTACCTCAACCATCAACTTTAAAGAAAACTCCAACTTCACAAAGAGAGTTCTCTTATTGAATCCCAAAAAATTTGAAGGAAGCCTAAAAGCTTAGCCCAGAAGAAAATTTTGGAAATAAATGTGACCTTACAAGGCTAGAACTAATCATTGAAAAACATAGACTCTTAAGAAGTGGTGCAGTTTATGCAAGTGTATGGCATTTATTCTTCAATGTGTCAAGAGACTTTCAGCATACCTCCAACCACAAAATAGGGTGCAATCATGAAGCAGAGCAGTTTTAGTAACTTCAAGCAAAGGCTTGACAACATCCTCCTGCAACCAATGTGAACTCAGACAATGAGCAAGGCTTAACACCATGCAGTATATCTTTTAATGCAAAGAGGCCCATGCGATTATCAAAAATCATTGAAAGGCATACCGCTTATGAACATCACAGAAACACAGGAGGCTTACCACATCAACATGGCACAAAACAACACGAAGCTTGAAGTTTTTCTGTAGTTCTCTTATACGGTAATATAGGTAGTCTGGATGCAACAAATGATACCTAAGACTGTAACAAATAGACAACTCCATAAGTTGGATGGCTAGTGGAAGGTTCTAGATACAAGCAGGACTAATCCTAGTCAAGTCCCATATAGATAAGAATCAAATACAAAGTTTAGAATCCAAGCAACATATAAGCCTATCAAGTCCCATACAAGGGACCTTCAAAACATGTAGACATATCTAAATAGTATCCCTCTAGAAACTTTAATGATCTACTTAACTAGAAAGCTGCACGGTTCAATTTTCTCTAAAACTTATATTTGCTCATACATATAAAAGGTAATTTACTAATGTAACATCACCTAAAATTTCAAATTGCTTAAATGGGAATTTCAATTCTGAAAACCAAAACAACTTTTACTATTTTAATTTCCATAATTTTGATTAGAAGTAAACCAGATATAAAACAATGATGCAAGAAGGCATGTTCTTTGATTTAAGATGCACAAATTTACATGAACTGTTACTACAAAAATTATAGTAACTGTATTTTGAATAGACTGGCGTGTAGTAATTCTAACCTTAAATAGAGAGCACATGAATTCTGCCCAAGCAAGTAATCACAAACAACATCTGCAAAATCCCATCTGACATTTCTGATATGTTTGAGCAAGGGATTTCCTTTCTGGAAAGAAGAAAGTATATTTATATTTAGCCAATATGTAAGTAAGGAACTATAATGCAGATCAAAGAGAAAGTAATAAGAAAAAGAGTGAACTTGTCTAAACTTGAAAATTTAGAAACTAATTTACATAGTAAAAATTTTCAAGTTAATTACATCAATATTATGCTGAGAAAATTAGAGAATTTGACACTAACATTGAATATAAATAAATGCCAGGAAAAACGAGTCATATAAGCAACTTTCTGCTGTTCAATTCAAGAATTCCTTTTAGACAAATGTTAATGGTCAGGAAAAACCAACCAAGGCCTTGTTCGGCTCAGCTGCCACCGAAGGGGTTATACTAAAAAATGGTTCATCCTCACAACATTTTAATTTCTTAGCATTCCAAGACTAACTTCACAAAGTATTTCGCCACTTTTGATACAAAGATAGTATAATGGCCTAGATTAACACATCAAGCAATTCAAGATAAGCAAAACACAATGTAACTGATCAATTTCAAAGTCCACCTCAGACCCATAAACTCTGAGTTAAGCAGCATCACCTGTCGGTTGCTAACCAGGATAGCATTGCGATTCTTGGACGAGCTCGATGACGATGAAACAACAGCAGCCGGATGCGGCTGCGCTGGAGCAGAAGCTGAAGAAGAAGGCACATTGGGTTCCTCAATTTGCCTGAAACAAAAACGGAATCACCATAAAAATCAAAACCCACTTCAGCAAGTTCCACCAGCCGTCTTCCGTTTCCCAAAAACTGAAAAAAGTCAGTACCTTTGGCCGGAAATTTCAGCGGCAGAGGTGGGTGCGTTGGAGGTGGGAGGAGGGGAATAGAATTCGGAGGATTTGAGGAAAGAAAAGGCTTGGGAGAAAGTCTGGGAAGGGGTGAAGAGAGAAGGTGGCGTCGATTTCGATTGTGAACTCTCTATGACTTCCTGGTATGATGGAACCCCTATTACTATGGGTGTCTTCTTCTTGCTCTGGTTCGATGATGGTTGTTCTGTTTCTTCCCCTTCTTTCTCCATGTTCTTCCTCTGTTGAATTGAATTGATTGTGCTGCACAGGGCTGTATTTTATTGTGTGTTAGGGATTTGGGTTGGGCTTAATGTTAGGAAGCAATCGGGGTTGAGTAGGCCCCGAAGTATCATATGATCGAATGCCAATTTTCATGTTGCACCTAGCCCAAGACAAAAGCACGATATTAAGAAAGCCCGGTTAAATTATTGACAAAAATTGGTATTTTTTTTTTTACTAAAATATGAAAATCAAGGTGTCTTAACATTCATGATATCTATCATAATTATTTATTAAATAAATCTCAAAATCCACTCAACAGATAACTGTGATGTACATCCTGATTTTCTGGACTCTCTTTTTTATCCATATAATTGGAGTTTGAACCATTATTTTTCCTCCCACTGGCTCTTTCCACAAAGGTTTTAATTTTAACCAATTCATCTGTCTCATGTAAAAAAATTGAAAGCTGTTTTACATTATATATTGCAAGTACACTTCATCTTATTATGAATTTATTAAAATTATTTTTTATATTATTTTATTAAAAATATTTTAATAAATTTAAAAAGTTTATTGCACTTTTAATGAATAATTAAACTATAATTCGTATATTTCTTACAAAAAATAATAATAATTAGAAAAGTAAATACCAACC